GCACACTCTCATGCACACACCCTCTCAGGCAGATATCAACACGCTCGAGTAACAGCCGATATTCCACTAACTTCTCTAATGCTTATTAGCTAATTCAATAGTATTATTATGTTTTTGCAGTGTTATTTTGGTATCATTAAGATTTTTAAAATAGATTTTAGTGCTGTATTTTCTCTTTATTTTCATTTTTATTTTCTTGTGTGTTTTTGTAATTCTTATTTATTATTGCATTTAAAAAACAATTTTTTATTAGTTTTTATATGAGTTTTAGTTTATTTAAATGGCAACAAGTTAAAATAAAATGTTTACTTTTTATATTTTATTTTATTTCAATTAACATTTAGTTTATTTCTAGTAATGAAAATGTTTTTTTTTTAATCGTTGTAGTTTTACTGTTAATTAACCACAGTAAACCTGGTATCCTAATGGACATCATTTTTGGGTCAGTTTTGTTTAAAGGGGTCCTATTATGCTTTTTCACTTTTTAAATTTTAGTCAGTGTGTAGTGTGTATGTTTGGGCATAAAAAAAGATCTACAAAGTTACAAATCTCAAAGTCCACTCCAAAGGGAGATACTTCGTTTAAAAAAATTTTTTTTAAGAACTACAACGAACGGCTTGTTTGGACTACAGCGTTGTTTTCCGGGGTTTGTAATGTCACAAAGCGGCCCATCATTAAGATTTTTAAAATAGATTTTAGTGCTGTATTTTCTCTTTATTTTCATTTTTATTTTCTTGTGTGTTTTTGTAATTCTTATTTATTATTGCATTTAAAAAACAATTTTTTATTAGTTTTTATATGAGTTTTAGTTTATTTAAATGGCAACAAGTTAAAATAAAATGTTTACTTTTTATATTTTATTTTATTTCAATTAACATTTAGTTTATTTCTAGTAATGAAAATGTTTTTTTTTTAATCGTTGTAGTTTTACTGTTAATTAACCACAGTAAACCTGGTATCCTAATGGACATCATTTTTGGGTCAGTTTTGTTTAAAGGGGTCCTATTATGCTTTTTCACTTTTTACATTTTAGTCAGTGTGCTAGTGTGTATGTTTGGGCATAAAAAAGATCTACAAAGTTACAAATCTCAAAGTCCACTCCAAAGGGTGATATTTCTTTTTTTTTAAATCCCTTTTCAAGAACTACAACGAACGGCTCGCTTGGACTACAGCGTTGTTTTCTGGGTTTTGTGATGTCACAAAGTGGCCCATTAGAATATCATTAAAATAATTCCCGCCTACAGAAATTCGAATGGTTGGTAAAGCAGTGTTTTTGAGCGGAGTACTGCTTTGTGTACAGCGTTACCGGCGAAACCTCTATCGCTACCACTTCAACAGCGCCTCCTGCTGGCAGAGAATGAGTTTGCATATATATGCCGCCTGGAAAACACTGGACTATAGTATAAATAAATTCAACTCTATAACAGTTTCACTGCAATTCATGTTATAATGTTAGAATTAAATAAAATGTTAGAAAAAATAATACATATGCACTTATCTGTACATAGTAAATGCAGTTATTTTTAAGCGGTTGTTGACATCGTATCTAAAACGTGATTTAGCCAAAAAAATAAAATAAAAATAACGTTACCACTCTAATATGTCTTGCCCCCCAAAACAAAATCAAGACATTGTAATAGAGCATAATAGGACCCCTTTAAAATGGCTTAAAAACAATACATATACATGACAAAAAAAATAATTTTAGTATTTAATTTTAAAATATACAGCATAAATATACAGTGTATTGAACATGAATATATATTGTGTTTTGAATACAAATAATAAAAAAAAAATTACTTTTTTGCTGGAAAATAAGGCAGAAATGCTGTTTAAATCAGGACTTTGTTTGAATATTTGAGTGGAGTTTAGGTCAGCGTATCTTTGCAGAATGATGGTGTTTGGTATTTTTTCCCGTTAAACACACGCATGCGTGTCGCCTGCTGCAGGTGTGTGTGTGTGTGTGTGTGTGATATGTCCAGATGTTGTTGCTGATGTGAATGTGGATCGTCTGCTCACCTGCAGCTCTTCTCCTCTGTCACGCCTCGTGTTTTTCTCCTTCACCATGTGTTGTCATTCAGCGCTTTGCTTTTGCACACGTTCTGTTGTTTCGCTCTTTTCTCCAGAGGTTTTGAAGTCGTCTTTTGATGTTGGATGAACATTACTGGGGTTTTATTGCTGGGTGTGTAATAATAACACTGATGATAATTAAACAGGCCATTTTAGAGATTAATTAAAGGCAAGTTCGTTTTAACATGCAGACGGCAGTGTGTAAATGCACTGTTTTTGCATTGTAAAATTAATCCCTTTTTATAGTTTTTATACATATTTTGGTAACAATTTACAATAAGGTCTCATTTGTTAACATTAGTTAATGCTTTAACATGAATTAACAACGAACAGTGTATTTTTACAGCATTTACTAATCTTTTTTTAATGTTAGTTCACAGTACATCAACTAATATTAACCAGATTAACTTTGATTTTAAAAATGTATTAGAAATTGTTGAGATGAACATGAACTAAGATTAATAAATACTGTATAGGTATTGTTCATGTCAACTAATATACAGTAGTTAACTAATGTTAACAAATCAAACCTTATTGTAAAGTGCAACTAATATTTTGAATTCGTTTTTGTATATTTGGTTTTTGTTCTAATTTTAGTTCATTTTTTAAGTAATTTGGTTGCTTGTCATTTTTTAAGTGTCTATATATATTTAAATAATTGAGCTCAGGATCGCAGGAAACTGGGTCAGAGCGCTTCCTCTATTCAGCACCATATGTTACTCCACCACACCCTGAGGGAAAATCACACACACACACACACTCACTCTCTCTCACACACACACACACTCACTCACTCACGCACGCACGCACGCACGCACGCACGCGACACACTAATACACACACACACATACACATACACTTACACACACACACACACACACACACATACACACTCATACACACTCATACACACACAGACACACTCATACACACACAGACACACTCATACACTCACACACACACACACACACACACACACACACACAGACACACTCCACACACACACACTTTTCTCTCGTTCCCACACACACCCTTCACTCATTCACGGGTGAATCTCATGAAAATATGTTCCACCCCAAAATCACAAGAAATGATGTTTATACGTGATGTACATGAAGCCTGTTTCAAGACCATTATGATTATTACGAAAATGATTACATCTCCAATTCTCATTATTTTAACGCACAAAAATCCCCACAAAAAAACAGCATCAGCAAATTAATCAGCATTAATAAAAGCTTGTAAAACAGTAGAAATCTCACAACGTGCACATTGCATTCGTAATGGTCTTCATTTTCTTTAACCAAAATATATTTTCTTTTTTTACATTTGATTCCGGGGTGAAAAATAATCCAGTCATGTTCTTCTTTAGGCTTAAAAAATTAGATAACAGATTTCATGTTAAGCACTTTTTTAAATGTCCAGCTCGATGCTGATTCTCATTACAGTCGTACAACTACAGTACATTTTATTTAAACCAGCATGAATGAAAGGTTGTAAAACAGTCGATATTTCACACTGCAGAACGCCTTAATGGTCCTATAATAGTCTTTAAGCAAATATAATTTCTTAGGTTTTTTGGAATTTAGATTTTTGAATTTTGATGGGGTGAAATATAATACAGGCATGTTCTTCTTTAGACTTTAAAAATTAAATATATATTTTTTGTGCATGAAAACAAAAAATGAAAATGCAATAAAATAATTTCCCTTAAAATAAGATTTTTTTTTTCAATCAAAATATATAGTTTCATATTTGTTATTTGGATACTGTTGAATATACTAGTCAACGTTAGAAGTGGATCAAAACCTTTCATCAAAGTTACCTAAAACCTAAAACCAAAATGTGTTCTTGTCTTAGGACAACTTTGATGAACTTTTTTGATCCGCCTCAAATGTTGACTACTGTATATAACAGACATGGTCTATATAAATGAGATAAATAATATTTTTTGCATTGCACTAATGAGAATTAAGGGACAATTTGTTTAATTGTCATGAAAATACAATTTTAAGCAAAATATATAAAATATATTCTCATTTTTATTGTAAATAAAACAACAACAGATATGTCCTTTAAAAATGAGATCAATCATATCTTAGGGAGGGTTTTTTTCATGAAGACAACTGAACCATTAAAAAGGTCCTTCAGATATATAAAATCATATACATATGTATGTGTGTGTGTGTGTGCGTATGTATATATACTTATACTTTCTAATCTTTTTATTTTAATATTGGGGTTAAAAATATAACTGATACATACTTTAAAATATTAAAGTTTTTAAAATATTATCATCATAATGAGAATTAGGCAGAGTTGTTTAATTGTCATGAAAATACATAAAGTCCTAAAATGGGCATCATTTACTTAATGCGCATTATATTGCTTTTTCTTTTGGTTTTGGTGTAAAGCATGACCTGTTCTCTCCGGTGTTTGTGTGAATGAGGCAGATGTGGATGTGAACCGAAGGAATGATGATTCCCGTCTGGAGCGCTGTGACCCGCCTCATTTACATACTAATCCCCGCCCCCTGCTGTTGCCACAGCAACAGGCTCGGCAATCGTCGCGGCTTTGGGGATTTTGGGGAGTTTATTTGTCGCATCTTCATAACGTTAATCATCTCTGTCATATTCATAAATGCCAGGCTGTCACAGGCTTATATGAAGTCATTTATTTCAATTTACTGACACAGACGCAGAATCAGATCAGATTTGGTGGAAATTAATCACATTAAATCGTAGATTAAGCGATAATCCCCTCCGAGCTCTTAAATACTGTAAGTGATTGGCATTGGCTTCTGAAATACCCTGGTAAAGATGATAATACCATGGCATTGTGTAATATCACAAGATATATCAACCCACAGACTCTCCTGATGGTTCATTTAATTTCATATTATGATTTGAATTTATTTATTTATTGTCATTTTTTTTTTTTTTTTAGATATATCTATATAGGTTTTTTATTTCAGTTTTAGTTTGTTATTTTAGTATATCAAGCTAAACTAAAGAAAAAAGAGAAATGTGGCCTTGCTATTTTATTAAATGTTTTGAGATACTACTATTATTTTGATTAATATTCGAATTCGTTTTTATTTTGACATTTTCTGTTTTCATTTCCGTTTAAAATTTTGATGTTTGTTTTTGTCATTTTTATCATTTTTCTATTTTCATTTTAAATTTGTAAATTTGTTTGTTTTTGCCAGTTTTATTATTATTATTTTAAAATATGTCTGTATACTTTTTATTAGTTTTTGTTTCAGTTTTAGTTTATTTTAGTACATAAAGCTAAACTAAATGAAAATGAGAAATGTTACTTTGGCAGCTATGCTGAAATAAAATTTTTAATAAAATATTTAGTGTCGTTGAGATACAACTATAAGTTTTATACATTTTTTTAATTAGTTTTTATATTGAAATTTAACATTTTTAGTAAATTTGTTTATTGTTTTTGTCATTTTTAGAATTTTTTATGTCTGTATAGTTTTTATTAACGTTTATTAAAGTTTTAGTTTATTTTAGTATATCGAGCTAAACTAAATGAAAATGAGAAATGCTGAGAACTAGCTGAAATATTGACACTAAAAATTTTATTAAATATTTTGAAATACTATTGTTATTTTTATTAATAATTGAATTTATAATAATTCTAATTGTAAAGTTTTAGTAATTTTTTTATTAGTTTTTTTTTTTATGTATATAGTTTTTATTCATTTTTATTTCAGTTTATTTCATGTTTCATGCAACTGAAATCAAATTAATCGCATTAAATCATAGATTAAGTGATAATCCCCTCAGAGGGACCCGGGGAGCCGGCTGCTCTGTTACCCAGAGATCAGTGCAGCGTCCCTGGGGAAGAGTGCTGAGCGAGTCCCTGGATTAGGCCTCAAAATCACCCGTGGACCCTCACTTCCGTAATTACGCTTTATTAATTGAGATATTGGATGATGGTGTTTACTGACGGCAGCTGTTTGGGATTTTTGTATTTTAAGAAAGGGGAAATATTGGATTGTAAAAGAGCCGCTAACGAGTATCAGAGCTTATATAATGTGAATTCATCGCACACACACACTCTCTCTCTATCTCTCTCTCTCACACACACACACACACACACACTCTCTCTCTCTCTCTCTCTCTCTCTCTCTCTCTCTCTCTCTCTCTCTCTCTCTCTCTCTCTCTCTCTCTCTCTCTCTCTCTCTCTCTCTCTCTCTCTCTCTCTCTCTCTCTCTCTCTCTCTCTCTCTCTCTCTCTCTCTCTCTCTCTCTCTCTCTCTCTCTCTCTCTCTCTCTCTCTCTCTCTCTCTCTCTCTCTCTCTCTCTCTCTCTCTCTCTCTCTCTCTCTCTCTCTCTCTCTCTCTCTCTCTCTCTCTCTCTCTCTCTCTCTCTCTCTCTCTCTCTCTCTCTCTCTCTCTCTCTCTCTCTCTCTCTCTCTCTCTCTCTCTCTCTCTCTCTCTCTCTCTCTCTCTCTCTCTCTCTCTCTCTCTCTCTCTCTCTCTCTCTCTCTCTCTCTCTCTCTCTCTCTCTCTCTCTCTCTCTCTCTCTCTCTCTCTCTCTCTCTCTCTCTCTCTCTCTCTCTCTCTCTCTCTCTCTCTCTCTCTCTCTCTCTCTCTCTCTCTCTCTCTCTCTCTCTCTCTCTCTCTCTCTCTCTCTCTCTCTCTCTCTCTCTCTCTCTCTCTCTCTCTCTCTCTCTCTCTCTCTCTCTCTCTCTCTCTCTCTCTCTCTCTCTCTCTCTCTCTCTCTCTCTCTCTCTCTCTCTCTCTCTCTCTCTCTCTCTCTCTCTCTCTCTCTCTCTCTCTCTCTCTCTCTCTCTCTCTCTCTCTCACACACACACACACACACACACACACACATATATATATATAATTTTGACAATAAAAAAACACTTTTTCAAACATTTTTGCCGTGTGTTTGTCCCACCAGAAAGAAAATAACTAGTTACTTTTAATTACTTTGCATTAAAAAATAACAATTTCACATTATTTTTCATAGATTTTCAAACTATGCATTCATGCATGATTGTTATTGTCCACAAACCCTTGCACAACAGAAGAGAAAGAGTTTGTGACCGGACTGAGGCAGAAACTAACAAAGCATACGAGTTTTCAGTAATAAATTGAGATGCATGCTAATGTTTACATGCAAACACAAAAAAACTAGTGTGCTTTTTATGGAAAGAATTAATCGGTGATTCATCATAGCCACTCATTTTTGGTCTGTGGTCTTCTGTCTGGGTGAAACTGCGCTTCCGTGTTTCGTAATGCATCAGTTCTGTCGTAACTTGCACATGTTTGATGGGTGTTTTATGCGTTTTCCCTCAGGATTATCACAGTTGCGTAACTCTAGTGGGTGAAACGAAGAACATTTCTTCAGAAAAGCAAATGCAATCTAGTGTGTGTTGAATCAGTGATGTATTTCTAGGGAAAAGACTCGGTGCGCGTCTCCAAACACAATGCAGACGCTCAGAAAAGATCGTCCAAAGCGAGGAGCCTCACGCTGGAGGATGAGGACTGGATCTGGACGGCCAATAAGAAGACGCCGCTGATCACTGGATCCAATCTGACGCGCTCTGGAAGCGTTAAAGATCTCATATACAGGTTCGACGGGCCGCCAACGCCGCCGCGCCTCGGCTCGCTGAAGATCAAACAGCAAGACGTGAGCGCACGGGATTCTGGGAAAATGAGACATGAAAGCAGAGAGAGAGGGAAGAACCAGAACCCGGTCTCCGGTGAACCGTCAGAACCAGAAACACAAGAAAGCTCAGAGCAGAAACGCCACAGCGCAGAGAAGAAGAAGAAGAGCGATGACAAACAAACGTCCCGGCGCAGCAAAGACAAAGCGGCTGTCTCTGATCCCGGTCCGGTAAGTGTCCGAGCCGCTCTCGGTTTCGGACCCGTCTCGTCCCGTCGACCGTGCTGCTTCACTGTGAATCTGAGTCCTGACACGCATGAATCTGCTGCAGTCAGCCAATCACAGCCTTTGATTTCAGACACACGCTTCATCAATCAGCCCACACTAACACATCCAGACTCGTGTCCATGTCTCAGAGCGTTTGATCTGTGCATGAGCTGTTGTTTTACTATCAGTGAGATTCTGTTTTTATATCATATACAGTCGTATTTTGAATGAATTATTATTGTTATATTTCACTTTTTATTTTTTATATTTATTTAGGTATTTTTTTATATTTGTATTTTTTATTTTAAAATTCACTTAGTTTTAGGAATTTTGTTGTGCTTTGTTGTCATTATTATTATTATTTGTTTATTTATTTCCATATCATTTCCATTTTATTCATTTTGATTTCACCTTTACTTGTTGTATATCAAGTGAAGTTAGATGAAAATGAGATGTTGCCTTGGCAATTAGCTGAAATTATTTTAAAAAATTTAGTTTTATTTATTTATTTTATTATTTTATTAAGGTTAACTTTATTTATTTATTTGAAGTTTTTATTAATATTTTGATCTGGTTTTTATATTTATGTTTTATTGATTTTATGTTTATATTTTTTCATTTTAAATGTAAAGTTTTAGTAATTTTGTTGTGTGTTTTTGTTATTATTATTATTATTAAGTTTTATATCAGTTTTAGTTTTAGTTATTTTAGTACATCAAGTTAAACTAAATAAAAATTAGAAATGTTGCCTGGGCAAGTAGCTGAAATGAAATAAGTTTGTTTTTTATATTTAATTTTATTAAGGTTAACGTTTGTTTATGTTTGTATTTATTTATTTTTGTTCATTTTAATTTATTTATGTAATAAGGGAGAGTGTACATTAAGAAAAAAAAATTCAATAAAAAAATTAAATAAAAGCAAAATTAAATAGCACATAATACACTGAAATAATCAAATTATAACAAATATTGTTATAGCTGAAAAAAACTAAACAAGTAATGAACATGTTTTTGTTTTTAGTTGTGTAATAGCCCTGAGCATGATGTGTGTGCTTCAGATGTGCATGTGTGTGTTTGTTGTGTCTCTGAGTGTTTGTAACACAACATGCATCTGATCTGCTGTAAATATAATAATCGCTGTGTTTTGGTTTATGATTGAAACCGCAGCTCTGTCCTCACACATCTGCGTTCTGATTCATGACGCTGAGCTTGATTTTCGAAGTTTAATGTTTAATTGTCTCTCACGCCGCTCTCTTTCTTACCCAGCATTCCAGCCTATACGGCGAGAAGCAGCACAGCGGCCCTCAGTCGAAGGAGGAGCCCACCACCCCCAAAATCCGCCCCAACCCCAAGTACCAGCTCTACCTGGGCTACAACGGCACCAGCGGCTCCAATGGGTCAGTGGGGGACGGCGGCGGGAGCCACGGGAATCTGCTGAGGGTCAGTTCAGTGATCCGCGGCTCCATGGAGTCGCTCTCATCCCGGGACTGGGACAGCATGTCCGACAGAGTGAGTGAAAACATCTGATTGCTGCCTTAGTGAGTAATTAAAATTTTTTAGCATAGTATGGTATGGTATGGCATAGCATAGCATAGCATAGCAGCATATTGTATAGTATAGAATAGTATGGTATGGCATAGCAGCGTATCGTATAGTATAGTATAGTATGGTATGGCATAGCAGCGTATCGTATAGTATAGTATAGTATGGTATGGCATAGCAGCGTATCGTATAGTATAGTATAGTATGGTATGGCATAGCAGCGTATCGTATAGTATAGTATAGTATGGTATGGCATAGAAGCGTATCGTATAGTATAGAATAGTATGGTATGGCATAGCAGCGTATCGTATAGTATAGTATGGTATGGCATAGCATAGCAGCGTATAGTGTGGTGTGTAGTGTAGTGTAGTGTGGCATGGTATATTATAGTATAGTATAGCATGGTAGAGTAGAGTAGAGTAGAAAACTATAATAATGAATAATAAACTATAATAGTATCTCAGGGATATTAATATGACAGAAACTAATGCACTTTTTCAATAATTTGGTAAATTCTTCCACAACAGTTATGCAATGCTTGGCTTGCATGTGTTTTAAAAATAATTGGAAAAAATAATTTATATTTTTCAATAAATAAAATAATAAATTATTTCTTTTTTAATATATATATATATATAATTAATTTTTTCATTCAACTATTTTTCATTTTTATAGGAATTATTACTATTACTATTATAAATATTATGGTGTCAGTTTAAAAAGGAACACAATGCTTTAAAGGTTCTTTCTGTCATGCTCTAACAGTACAGTAATGTGTCTGTGTTCTTTCAGACGGGCGGCTTTGAAAGTCCTCCCCGAGTTTTCAACAGTCCGTATTCGACGCTCTCGCTGGACTACAATCCCATCAACAGAATGTCTGACTTCAAGGTGAATAAACTCAGGCTATACAGATGATAGTGAGTGTGTGTGTGTGTGAGTGATTGTGTGAGTGTGTGTCCCTCTAGTGGACAGAACATGAACGTGTGTCCTACAGTCTCACATACAACACTTCACTCTCTTCAACAATGACTGTCTACTTCTTTTAGAATTATTATAGCTTCTATGACTTCAGATGAATTCAGACGGCATGGTACTGAAGCAGTGCTCTGAATGTGTTTTGATTGGTCTGTCAGACACAGGAAGTGATGTCACCCGCCGGCTCTGAGATGAGTCTGTTTGGTCTGAACAGAAGCGTGAGTCCTGTTAGCAGTCCAGCTGTGAACCACCGCACACGAGTCCCCGGATACGACAGTCTGACCCGCAGACGAGACGTGAGTCTGCGCCACAGAGAAGCAGGAAATACATATTCATCCATAAAATAAGCAATCAGTTTATATTACAATTATATGTATGTTAACTGAAATAAAATAAAATATAAAAAAATGTAAACTTATTCTATCTCATTCTGTTTCAAAATCTAAAGCTGAAATAAAAAATGACATATTTTTTTAATATTGAATATTGTATATAAATATGAAAACAAAAACTAGTAAAATGACAAAACAAAACTTACTGTAATCAAAATTACTAAAACTTTAAACAAAAATTAAAATTAAAACAGAAAATAAAAATAAACAAAAAAATTCAAAATATTAATAAAAACTTAAATTCAATTTATAAATAAAATAAATAAAAACATTTTATATTAAAATAAAATAAATGATAATATATGTAAATATAAATGTAATATATATATATATATATAT